TTGCTTTCATATCTTTTTGTAATTTCAAAATTAAATAATTAGTTGGGTCCCGTGATTGGGATCACGTCTGATCACCCAATCACGGGACAACCAGCCAGCGGGAGCAGCACTAAATGAAGGTTGCGCTTACCGCTACTTGCTGGATGAAGCATTTTCGTTACTTTAATATTTTTGTACTTTCGAAAGTAAATAATTAGTCGCACCTCGTGATTGGGATCACATCTGAGCACCCAATCTAGGGAGAGATAGCAAGCGAGAGCAGCCCTAAGTGAAGGTTGCGCTCACCGCCGCTTGATGGGTGAAGCACTTTTATTATTTTCATATTTTTGTAATTTTGAAATTGTATAATTAGTAAGATCCCATGATTGGGATCACGTTTGATCACCCAATCACGGGATAGCCAGCAAGCGGGAACAACACTGAGTGAGGACAGCGTGCTGCTCACTAACACCTGCATGATTATTGGTCTGCTTTATTTTATGTTTGAAGCAAACGACACCCCTATGCAGTATATGAACAAGGAGTGCGCAAACTGCACCCGTGTACAGTATTTGAACAAAGGTTGTGCAAGCTGCGTCCCTGTGTTGTATTCGAACAGGGACAACACTAGCTGCACCCTTGAGCCGTATTCAAACAGGATTGTGCAATGTGAATCCGACACTAAGGTAATTTAGTTGATTGGGTTCAAGTGAGGCTTACTGCAAAATTGATCAGAGCACACTAGACGAGGCTGGTCTCCATAGCAGAGCATCAATCAGGCTATTGGGATGGGTTTGGTTACTTTGTCCACATCAGTAAAGACTTGGCTAAAGGGACAAGCCATACATGAGCGCCTATGGAAGAGGGCGGTAGGCAAATACAGACCACCTCAAAAGTGGCCGCTGCAATAAAACCCCAGGAACTTAATCTATCTATTTATTAATCTATTATTTACTCACCTTTGAGCTCATCACATATAGCAAGGTTGACCGCTCACAATTGAGCATACTTAGTTGGGAAGGATTTGGACAGCTTGAGAGAATGTGAAAAACAAGTCTTCGCACGAGGTTTTGAAAAGTGTTCTAATTGAGGGAGACTGTTTCATTTTCGGAGACGCATCCAAAGATCAGATACCACAAAACTCAGGGGAACTTCATTTTGAGCACTTTGATCGTTCGGATCTTCGATCGATCAATATTCAAACATAACGAAAAATAGATGCGCGAGCATGGGTTTTCAGAGTGAGCGGTTTCGAGTACCACTATCAACTAGAGGCGCCTCGTTTTTATTTATTTATATATTTATTCACACAATTTTACCATGATTAGATGCAGCGTGGATTGCAGCTCGACAATGAGCTGTGGAGGTAGCTTTCACTACGCTGCCTGGACCGAAGCGATTATTTATTTATTTATTTATTAACGAGAGGAGAGTAAATCACGCCTCTGTACAATATTCAAACTGTCTGGGCATACTACGTACTCTTGTGCCGCAATCGACCATACGGTGCTAGGACTGTAACCCCGTGCACTATTTGAACAGGGGCAATGCAGAGCTGCACCCTATGCTGCACCCCGTGTTTTCATTGAACAAGAGGTGAGAAAGCAACATACAATAGATCTGATCCTGTACTCCACAGGCTTTGCACGTTTGGGGTTGTAATTAGCAGGTTCACGTAGTGCTCAGCAAACTTGGCTTGTTACTGGCCGGACTCTGACTCAGCCTCACCGCTCAGAAGATGCTGGTGACACACAAGCTGTTAAACAAGATTCACTGTGTGGACCCATTATGGGCAGACTCGAACTGAAGTACAAATTGTTGTCATTAGGCTCGGAAGTAGACACATGAAGGATAAACTACCTCAGCTAAAGCCGAGCCCAACAGTCTCAGCCTTAAGAAGCCAACATACTTATTTTATTTTCAGTTGAATTATTCATTCTCTTCACAAGTGGAAATGAATACCATTCATTGTCAACGAACTTAGCCCTACGAATTCAGTTAAGTTTCTTCAAGCTCAGTTCAATGTCGGGAATAAAACTTAGTCTTAACA